GAGAAGCAGTCCGATGACGAGGACACCGCAGACGAGTCCAGCAAGCCCGACAGCTCCACTGGCTCCAGCAGTCAAGAGGTGGAAATCGACCCCACCTTGAACGAGGAAGATGAAGTGCAGGATCGGACATACCAGACTCGCCACTGGACTCTGTACAGCACGGCAGACGAGCCTGGGTGGTCCAGGCCAAGGGACCGAAGAGCCCTGCGAAAGAGGCTTTCCGAAGAGCGCCAGGCCTTCAAGAAGCGCAGCTCTCGGAGATGAGTCCACCTGAATTTCAGCCAATGTGTCCACCCGCCGATTCTGGTGCTATGAATGATCTGCAATTCCTTTCCCCAAGTGCCATGCGACCTGCAATAGTGATGCGCCATCCCATGACAGACTCCTATATTAGCACTATGCCTTTTCGGATTCCGTTTGGAGTCGGCACGTCGGGTAAGGATTTTCGTAGAGGCCCGGACAAGGAGCCAGTGTAGATCGGTCTGGTCGAGATGACTGGTCGATGTGTTTGAGCTGGCAAGGGTATGTGGCTGGAGGGTGGGACTGCATAGTTGGTTTATGCATCATGGGCTTGGCTTTGGTGGCGCGTCTGTCCCCTACCTCGTCGCTGCCACTTGCAGTGGGGTAGTTCTGCTGACATTTTGACGTGCGGTGAGGCTGATGGGTAATCAGGCCCCTTAGTAGTTTTACTTGGCAGATGTGGCTTAGAATGGCTGTTGGGTTGAAGCTCACTGCATACAGTTGTCGCTTCGCTGACGTCGGATATGCGGGCATGCGTGTTGTTCAGTGTGTGTGTGTGTACATATATATATATATATCTGCAAATGTACATATATATATATATATCTCATATATATATATATACATACACACCTACCTACCTACCTACCTACCTACCTACCTACCTACCTACCTACCTACCTACCTACCTACATACATACATACATACATACATACATATGTGTTTACACATCTATGTATGCATGTATGTATGTATGTATGTATGTGCAGGGTGTGCTGGGCAAGGTTCCTGCCGCATCTGACGTTGGTGTTTGTAGTATGCCAGCCGTTAGTGTTCCCGGCGGCTGCGAAGAGGCTCTCAAGTCTTTTGAATTGGCTTGGAGGCCTTCAGTCCAGAGGTTGTCCCTTGCAGCTGTCGAAGTCATTATGCCTTCGGATGGTTTGCAGGTTCTGGTAGACTCTGAGCTTCTCGAACATTCGGCAAGGGCTCGCCTCCAGGACTTTTCTGTGGCGCGTCCAATGCGGACGGTAGCTGGGCTCGCCAAGCCCGTCTTCTGATACGAACTTGGTGAGGGGCGCGGCAACCTGCTGCGCGCTCACGGCCAAACGCATCTACCCTGCCAGTCGTTGCAAATAAATCCTTTCATGCGCAGTATCTGCACTTTCCGGGCAGAGACATATAGGTGGGTGGGCTAGCAGAGAAATACAGACACAAGCATTCACTCAGACAGAGACACGGGTGGGAGCGGCTCTAGAATTTAAAGAGTGTGTGTTGCGTATTGGTGTGACAGGCTACCGAACAGGCGTGCATGAGCAGGTATTCCAAAGGCACGGCCAATACGCGGACCAATATGATTTGTGCCGCATCTGACCTTGGTGTTTGTAGTACCAGTCGTTAATGTTCCCGGCGGCTTCGAAGAGGCTCTCAAGTCTTTTGAATTGGCTTGGAGGCCTTCAGTCCAGAGGTTGTCCCTTGCAGCTGTCGAAGTCATTATGCCTTCGGATGGTTTGCAGGTTCTGGTAGACTGAGCTTCTCGAACATTCGGCAAGGGCTCGCCCTCCAGGACTTTTCAAAGGCGCGTCCAATACAAGCCTATCTGATAGCACTGACCCGAACTTGGTGAGCGGCGTGGCAACCTGCTGCGCGCTCACGGCCAAACGCATCTACCCTGCCAGTCGTTGCAAATAAATCCTTTCATGCGCAGTATCTGCACTTTCCGGGCAGAGACATATAGGTGGGTGGGCTAGCAGAGAAATACAGACACAAGCATTCACTCAGACAAAGACACGGGTGGGAGCGGCTCTAGAATTTAAAGAGTGTGTGTTGCGTATTGGTGTGACAGGCTACCGAACAGGCGTGCATGAGCAGGTATTCCAAAGGCACATAGGTCCAGAATACTCGCACCATTCTGATTTGTGGTGTTGCTCGTGTGGGGTGTGGACTCGGAGAGTGATAGCATTTGACAGCACTCCCTAATGCTGGCACTTCGAGATTGGACAAGACCAGGCACAGGACCAGGCTAGCCAGCACCATGGTCTTCGGACTTCGACTGTGATGCGAGTGAGGTGCCAACAAGTGCGTCTTCTGCTGGCGCCATCACAAGAATCCAGTGGGCTGGCACCTGAAAAATTGGCACCAGCCACGCCCGCACTACTGATGGAACACTTCTCGCAAAGCTGGTGCATTCTCAAAGAACCGAGCAGATCTCGTGATATTTGATCGTAGTTGCTAGGAACCGAATGGAAATGGTCGATGGATCCTCCTGATCAGAGCCTTGCTCGCAGCCGCGCTGTCATTCCTTCCCGAGCTTGCTGAGGCCAAAGTTTTGAGCTTGAGGGGTTCTTCTGACCTAAGGATTGTGGCCGAAGGCATCGATCAGCATCGGAGGCTCCTGCCCCCTTCCAATGCTCGTCAAGCGTCTGACGATACAAAACTGCTGAGCCCCCACATGAGAGGATGATCCGGGAGTGCAAGGGCTCGCGGCTCAGGAATCATGATTTCGTTGTGCTCCCCAATGCCCGGCCTCCTGGCACGAAGGCATTCCTGGAGTCAAAAAGGAACGCTTCGAAGAAGCGATGACCGTGAGGCAGCTTGGATGACTGGCATTTGGGCCTGTCATAGACTGGAGAGCCGGGAGAGTCTTGTTGACACTTGTGCAGAGGCATTGTGCCCTGTCACTCGTCGGCGAGCCGATCATGTCTGCCCCTGCACTCGATGATGCACATCCAGGTTGCATCTAATGCCCGGTGGAATGACAGGTATCCTAGGATAAACGAGCTTGTGGGCGAGCTCCATCAGAGGAAGCCGGTGCCTTCGATCCATGTCGATGTGTTACGAATCGCATTTTCCTGCATGTCGGAATGCCTGGGATGGTCGCATGAGCTGAGAATCAGCACCTTCTTGGTGACGAACGCACAGTGCCGCCCCAAGCTCTTCACCACTCTTCACACGAGAGCTGTCTGCAGGGGGAGTGATTCTGTCCTTCTGTCCAAGCTGAACGAAGCCAGGTTTCCGGAGGCCATTCGTAACCTCGATCCGATCACGCAGCTATACGTCAGTCAGCAGCCCAACGACTCTTGGACATCAGTCTGAGTCACTCTCTTTGCGAATGCTGATGCACTGCGCATTGCTGCTGCTATCACTGCTGCTGCTGCTGCTGCTGCTGCTGCTCCTGCTCGCGATAGCAGATGCCTTGCCTGGGTGGTGTGGGCGAAGGGCTTTGGAACAGCAATGTCAGTGCTGCAGCTTTGCAGACATGATGTTCAGATTGTTTGCATCTCCGAACCAGCAAGGGTTTGCCTCTGTGGCTTCTCCGAGGTGTGGATGCCGGCACGCCGGAGACGCTTAAGGCGGTTGATAGGCCTCGCACGAAGTTCCGCAGCAGGAAAACTAGACGGGCTGCTGTCATCTGCAGCCTGATGATGCCTGATGTTTAGATACGAGTTGACAGGTTGTGCACTGTAACTGGCTCCGGTCTTATCCTGTCGTCATGGAATGGAGGCCGCTGTTCTCCGACTTCTGGCAGAGATACTTGGACTCCCTGAAGGTTGGGACTGCCTGGGAACCCCCTGACCCGCCATCTGCTTGCAATCAGTCGCAGAGGCATTGAAGGCCAAGAAGCAGCGAACAGTCTACCGACTGACCCTGGTCAAGGATGGGCTTTGCTCATGCAGAGTGGGGCAAGTTGTGGGTGGAGCAAACGAGGTACTGTGCAGCCTGAGACATAGACATAGACTCTGACATAGACAGAAACTTCATATTGTTGGGAGGCGGTTTGAGCAGAGTTGCATGGCCTCAACTTCCCAATATTCACCTCGAAACTCTAAGAGTAGAAATCAACCGTAGCAACAAGCAACCAATTCAATTGTACCTCGTTGGCGGCAGGGCCACAATATGGAGGAGGCGGCGAACTATGCAAAGCTCGTGGCGCCCTTTCCCGAGTCGGGTGTTCTTTGTTAATGTAGCATTTTTTCAACATAGTGCAGTAGAATAGAATAGAATAAGATAATAGTAATAGTATCAATGATAATAATAATTACGATAATAGTAATAATAATAATAGTAATAATAATACTCATATTAATAATAATAGTGAATACTAATAATAATCTGTTATGAGTAATACAAGTACCCTTACTCTCAGTACACAGTGAACCCATAAGACTGATCAGCATTCCTTTCGCTACCACTGCATACCACTGCTACTGCTACGCTTCCTAATTCGATGCTCCCAGACTTGCCAAGTAAACTCTCTCAAGAAACTTCATATGGGTAGTTCTCCAATTAGGGTCGCTTATTTAGGTCCCCGAAATAGAACGCCACCCTAATAAAAAGGGCACCGGAGAGGTACCCTAATTTAGACAACTACCCATATCCCCCCCCCCCCCCCCCCCNNCCCCCCCCCCCCCCCCGCCGGTTTTTTGAGAGCCGAGGTTGGGAACCCCGGACTTCATCGAGATCAAGTCCGTGACCTTCTGCGGCGAGTCTAAGGCCGGCAAAAGGGAGGAACAGGACTCCTTCGAGTCGTAGAATCTGCATGAGACTCGTTGCGAGACTCTTCGTGATCATCTTCGTAAGAAGATCATAGAGTCGAAGAGTCATCTTCTGAAGCTGTGTTCCTCGATTCTGGAAGCTGGTTCCAGGAGTGTCTAAATCTGCTGAGCTCTCCGGCGTGCTCTCGAGTTCACAGTCTCTGGCGAGGCATCCTCGCTGACGATCGAGTGCACGCCTTGGCACGAAGAGGCCGGGCTTCCGAGAGGGCGTGGTCGACGGACCACGAGACAGCGGGTAAGGTTCACAAGGCAGATCGCTGCATACATCGCTGACACAGCTCCCCATGGCCGTCATGAGCTCAGGTCAAAGCCTTCTCGGAAGCCATGCTCTCGAAGGACGGGCCGGAGCTTGGCCTAAAAGTCCGCTTTGCTGCGCTTTGCCGCGCTTTGCTGGGCAGGAAGGTCTGGAGTCCCAGTACGAGCTCGCTTGCGAACACCAGCACAGCTGCATTGAGCTGCCGGCTCGCTTGACAGGGGAACATCACTTTGTCTTCCAGTAATTCCTAAATGGATTCACGGGATCCTTCAAGGTGCTGCTCGCCAACAAGCGCTACAAGGCCCTGTGATGCCCGGTGGCACGCCTTGTCCGCAAATCTTCTTGATCTTTCTGCGACTTCCTTGTAGGTCGATGGGCGCTGGCATACTTGGATCGATTATGACCGCTTCCACGAACTTGTCAAAGCAGGTGCGCAAATACACTTGCGAGTGTGCTCATCGCTGCCCCTGGTTTGGAACGGAACCTGCGCCAAGGTGTCGAATTCGATGCCACTGATTACTGGGCTCCGACGCCGGAGTGGGCCCTTTACGGCTCGGAAGAGGCAGAAAAGGATAAGTCAGACAGTTCCAGCAAGTTGCACTACGCTGTCACGTATAGCTCCTGCCGGCTTTTTGCTGAGCTTCTGGTCTGTGAATTGCTGCTCAGGCGGGATTTGACCCCAACGAGCCAGGGACCTGGAGCCAAGGACCTGCACCTCCCTTGCCGACATGCGCCCCCTGCATGTGCTAAGGACGCGCGTGTATCACAACCGCACCAAGAAGCGCGCCCAAGCCGGCCTCCTTTCAAAGGACATCGTTCGGCTCTGCGCAGGGAAGGAAGCCCCTGCTCTGCTCTGCCCTGCCCTACAGGAGCAGCTGAAGATGTACCCAAACAATCCGGCCAAGCAGTAAGCGCCGATGTACAGCTCTGAACTGCGCATGCATTTTCCAGCTGCCCCGATGGGCGCCGGGTTCCTGCATGCTGCATGCAGCATAAAACGAGGACCTTTCAGAGGATATTTCGCACACGTAGCCACGAGGACCTGGAATTGGACAAAGAACAGGCCGCCAAACAGAAGCTCCTACTGCCACACTTCGTGAGACGTTTCGGCAGACCCTGCTTATAAATGGAGTTTAGTCGCTAGTGGGACCGTAGAAGACGAGCATCGACGCGTAGAATAGGTAGGTAGGTACGCAAAGGGCTGGACCTTTGCAGACCCGATGCCGGCCTGGCCAGTGGAGCCCAGCGCGCGACAAAAAATCGATTCATGGGCGAAGTCCTGATCGCTGATCCAAAGGATTTCTGTGCCTCTGTGCCCCTGTTGAAGACCTGCAGGCGGTACGTCAGCTGGCTTTCGACTTCCTCCAGCGTCCCATACACGTTCACATAGGCCATGCACCGGCTTTCTCGTTGTGACTCGAGCTTCGCTGATTCCGTGCTCCCTGTGCAGCCAGCACAGGCGAGATGAACACTGCGAAAGCGAACACAGACGTGACGCAGCATGTTGTTCTCCTAGACAGGCCGCAACGTCTGATTCAGCATCGTGTTATCATGTGCCATATTGTGCCATGCCGCAATACCAGTCTTACCAAACAAAGCATCTGGCATGTTCCGTCATCGTTCGCACAGGCCGTTCGACAAGGATCAGAAGTTATCACCTCAGTCTAGGTGTCACAGTCTCGCCGCGTAGCAGAGGAAAGCCTGCGGTGCAGCGACAGCTGCCAGCTGTTTGTCATGAAATGAGGGAGAGTGGCCTGCACACGTGATCAACTGATTCACACCCGCTTTTTTTCTGAAGCTCATCAGGCTGGACGAGATGCTTTTGGAGCATCTTGGGGAGGAGCCAGCAAATCTAGAGAGTGATGGATTCGGGACATCATGCGACCATCGTGCGCCCAGGACGAGCTGGCCATAGTGTTCGTATCCACCAAGAGATCTGTCGAGGACAGCCAGCATCATGGTGCGCTTGACCGGGCAGCAGCAGCTTTTGGCTTGTCGCGCATCCTAAAGTCCTAGAGGTCCGACAGCTGCGAGAGCAGACAATGTGACAAGCAGCTGCCGCTCGTGGTTCATGTCGTGCGTGGTCGGAGGAAATCGCCAGACTCTTGATGAGACATAGCTATGGCGTGACTGAGATCCATGGTGACAAGGCCTCCGTCAAACTTTGTGGGGAGTTCAGTCCAGAATGCAGCTCCTGATGACGGCAATCAGATTTTGCCTAGACAAGCAGCGATCCCTAGCAGTTGCCCGCTCTGCATCAGCTATAAGAATGGATCCCATATCAGTCGTGCATACGTTTGATGCCCCTTACTTCGTCTCGACTCCAGACTACACGAGAATCCCCGTTGGTTCTCAGGACCAACGAGAGCGAGACCTCGCTTTGCGGTCTTTCACCAACAAGGAGAAGCGCGCCTGGCACCTGTGGTAGTATCATGAAATACCACTCTGCCGACTTTTATGATTTTGCTGGCACGTGCTCTGGGCTGTACATGTCGTGCAATGAATCCATGGCCTTTCGGCGTTGTAGCCCATCACTCTGTTATGCACCCCGTCTCTGTTGCTGATGGGTGTTTTGGCGTGACTGGATATCTAAGAATTGCAAGTCTCCAAAGTTGCACACGCAGTGGTGCGTGCGTGCGTGCGTGCGTG